TTTTTTTGTCACTACAAGGGGTTTTTTTTTTTTTTTTTTTTTTTTGTCTACCTTTTCAACCCCATATAATATGTAATCCTACAGTGATTTGTTTTCAGCGCTTTCTAGTCCAATACGAAAGGGTAAATTTCAGGCTTCTGTTTTTGCGTTTCATGTATGGTTTATGGCAATTGATACAGAGGTCCGGTTACTATGTGTCTTTGGGGGATAGTGTAAGTTTGCCACCCTCAGCTGTGTCGATGTTGCTGGAAAACTGGTCAGATATAACCATCACCTTGAACCAATTGGTTTCTTAACTTGTAACTGGAGTATGAACCCTGATGTATGTCTCTGGGCTTAAACTGTCAAAACTAGTGAGCATGTATATTGCAACATTAGTGTGTTCTGATGTTACATCCCAGAGTCAACATACAAGCTCATGTGATTGAGAAATTCATTTATAATGTGAGGTCAAAACCTGACACCATATCTAATTCAACAAAAAGGGTTGCTATAACACGGCCAAGTTGAGCTTGTTACGGGGCTGATGACACATGTGGATCCATATGCAAAGCTTTATTCATAGACATGGTCATACACAGGCAGGGTTGAGCATCAGCAAACAGATGTGTACAAGACGGAGTATTCTTAGGGCTGGTGTGAGTCATCGATTGGCGAACAGAATCCAGAGGGCTTGATGAGGGGTAATCCAGAAACATGAGCAATAGTCCAGACGAGGTACAAACAGTCTGAGCGATGAGACGCGGGTTAATCCAAGATACACAGGCAGGAATAAGGAAACGGGAAACAAGGCAATATGAAATGACTAGACAGAACTAGAAACTAGGCTCCATAAAGCAGCTATCACTAGGAGAGTGATAAATGCAGAACAATACTCTGCGACTTGAAGGATCTGAGTGGGTGTTATATGTGTGTAATAGCTTTCAGGTGAGTGTGTGATTGGTTGCAGCTTTGTGCAATCAGTGCAATGGATGATGGGAAATGTAGTCCGGAGTGACATGTAACAGTCTGTGTGGTGTGAGAGTCAATATGATGAAGAGGTGACCTCTTGTGGCAGTCGGATGGAAGTCTATGGACAGAATTCATAATATAGACTCATTAGTGGAAATGGGACAGACAGACAATTCAAAACCTGATTCATAGGTTGATCCTGGAAAGACTGACAGTTCATGATCAGACAGATTGACAGAAACGGGCAAGACAGAGAGTTCAAAATCAGCATCTAGACAGACAGACAGATCACAATCAGCCTCCAAGGCTGATTCAGAACAGGACGAGAGTTCGGAGATGGCCTCATCGGGCGGTTCAGAGCAAAGCAAAAGATCACTGACAGCCTCCATAGCCGTGACAGGACAGGCAGAGAATTCACAGACGGCCTCCATAGCCATGACAGAACAGGACGAGGGTTCATAGGCGGCCTCCATAACCGTGACAGGACAGGCAGAGAGTTCACAGACGGCCTCCATAGCCGTGACAGGACAGGACAAGGATTCACATACGGCGTCCATAGCCGTGACTGGACAGGCAGAGAGTTCACAGATGGCCTCCATAGCCGTGACAGGACAGGACAAGGATTCACATACGGCGTCCATAGCCGTGACTGGACAGGCAGAGAGTTCACAGATGGCCTCCATAGCCGTGACAGGACAGGCAGAGAGTTCACAGACGGCCTCCATAGCC